AGTACACCTTCACTGTCCTACCTCAGGGGAGTATCAGCTTTCCAGACCTCTGTCATAATTTAGTTCACAGGGATCTTGATTGCCTTTCTCTCTCTAAGATATCATACTTGTCCATTACATTGATGACATTATGCTGGCTGGACCTAGTGAGTGAGAAGTAGCAACTACTCTAAATTTATTGGTAAGACATTTGTGTGTTAGAAGGTAGGAAATAAATCTGATAAAAATTCAGGGGACTTTCACCTCAGTGAAATTTCTAGGGGTCCAGTGGTGTGGCTCATATGGAGATATCCTTTCTAAGGTGAAGGATAAGTTGTTGCATCAGTCCCCACCCCCAACCCCACAACCAAAAAAGAGGCACAATGACTAGTAGCTTCTTTATATTTTGGAGGCAACGTATTCCTGCAAATATATTGTATTACTCTGGCCCATACCAAATGACCCAGAAAGTTGCTAGTTTTGAGGAAGACCCAGAACAAGAGAAGGCTCTGCAACAAGTCCAAGTGGCTATGCAAGCTGCTCTGTCTCGTGGGCCGTGTGATCCAGCAAATCCAATGGTGCTTAAATTGGCAGTGGATAGAGATACTGTTTGGAGCTTTTGGCAGGCACCAATAGGCAAATCACAGTGCAGGCCCTTAGGATTTTGGAGCAAAGCCCTGCCATCCTTTGTGGATAATTATTCTCCTTTTGAGAAGTAGCTCCTGGCCTGCTACTGGGCCATAGTACAGACTGAACACTTAACCATGGGCCACCAAGTTACCATGGGACTTGAGTTGCCCTTCATGAACTGGGTATTATCTGACCCTTCAAGCCATGAAGTTGGGTGAGCATAGCAGCCCTGCATCATCATTTGGAATGGTATATATGAGATTGGGTGCAAGTAGGCCCTGAAAGTACTGCCCTCAGAAAGAACTGCACTTCTGCTATACTCCCTTTTCTTTCCTAGTCTATACCTATTTTCCTTGTGGGGAGTTCTACAGTCAGTTGACAGAAGAAGAGAAGATTTGGGCCTGGTTTACAGATGGTTCTGCATAATATGCAGGTGTCACCTGAAAGTGGAGAGCTGCAACGTGGAGTCCCTTTCAGGGATGTCCCTGAAGGAGAGTGCTGAAGGGAAATCCTCCCAGTGGGCAAAACTTTGAAAAGTACACCTAGTTGCGCACTTTGCTTGGAGGGAATATGATTGGCATATTGGTGACAAGGAAATCTGGGGGAAGAGATGTGGATAGACTTCTCTGGGCAAAAAAAAAAAAAAAAAAGTGAAGATATTTGTGTCTCATGTGAATGCTCACCAAAGAGTGACCTCAGTAGAGAAGGATTTTAATATTCAAGTGGATGAGATGAGAGGTTCTGTGGACACCAGTCAGCCTCCTTTCCCAGCTACCTCGTCATCACACAGTGGGCTTGTGAACATGGCTACAATGGCAGGGATGGAGATTTTGCAGGGGCTTATCAACATAGATTTCCATTCACCAAGGTTGACCTAGCTTTAGCCACTGCTGAGAGCCTAAGCTGCCGTCAAGCAGAGACTAACACTAAGTCCTCAATATGGCACTGTTTCCCTGGCTGATCAGCCAGTTACCTGGTGGCAGGTTGATTACATTGCACTGCTTCCATCATGGAAGGGGCAGCATTTTGTTCTTACTGGAAGAGTTACTTTTGATACAGATTTGCTTTCCCCTCATGTAGTGCTTCTGCCAAAACTACCATCCATGGATTTACAGAATGCCTTATTCACCATCATGGTATTCCACACAGCATTACTTCTGATCAAGGAACTCTGTAGGAAATAAAGTGTAGCACTGGGCCAGTGCGCATGGAATTCACTAGTCTTACTATGTTTCCCGCTATCCTGAAGTAGCAGACCTGATAGGATAGTAGAATGGACTTTAAGGAAGCTAAGGAGATGTGTATGAGTGCCGAATTCACAAGGGGTAAACTTGTGATGGTTAATTTTATGTGTCATCTTTTGTTAATTTTTTGAGTGTAGTTGACACACAATGTTACATTAGCTTCAGGTGTACAGCATAGTGATTTCACAAGTATATACATTATGCTATGCTCACCACAACACTATTACAATATCATTGACTATATTCCTTATACTGTGCCTTCTTAAAAAAAGATGTTATTTATTTATTTCAGAGAGAGCGTGAGTTGGGAGGGCAGAGGGAGAGGGAGAAACAGACTCCCCACTGAGCAGGGAGCCTGACACAGGGCTCAATCCCAGGACCCTGGGATCATGACCTGAGTGGAAGGCAAATGCTTCACCTCCTGAGCCATCCAGGCACCCCTATGGTGTGCCTTTTATGTGAGTTATTCATTCTATAACTGGAAACCTTTATCTCTCATTCACCTTCACCCATTGTACCCATCCCCCAGCCCCCCTCTCCTCTGGCAACCACCAATTTGTTCTCTGTATTTATTTATTTGTTTTGTTTTTTAGATTGCACATATATGTGCACTCATATAGTAGTTGTCTTTCCCAGTCTGATTTATTTCACTTAGCTTAATACCCTCTAGGTCCATCCATGTTGTTGGCAATGGCAAGATCCCATCCTTTTTTATGACTGCGTAATATTTGTGTGTGTGTGTGTGTGTGTGTGTGTGTCACATCTTCCTTATCTATTTGTCTATCAGTGGATTTATGTTGCTTCCACATCTTGGCTATTGTACATAACTGCAATAAACATAGGAGTACATATATCCTTTTGAATTAGTGTTTTTGTTTTCTTTGGGTCAGTATGCAATAGTGGAATAACTGGATTGTATGGTAATTCTATTTTTAATTTTCTGATGAAACTCCATACAGTTTTCCACAGTGGGTATACCAATTTACATTCTACGAACAGTGCATGAGGGCTCCTTTTTCTCTGTATCCTCGCCAACATTTTTGATTTCTTGTCTTTTTTATTTTAGACATTCTGACAGTTGTGAGGTGATATCTCATTGTGGGTTTGATTTGCATTTCCCTGATGATTAGTGATATTGAACATTTTTTTCATGTATCTGTTGGCCATCTTTATGTCTTTGGAAAATGTCTATTCAGGTCCTCTGCCCGTTTTTTGATGTGGAGTTGTAGAAGTTCTTTATATAGTTTGGATATTAACCCTTTACCGGATGTCCCATTTGTAAATATCTAATATCTAAAGTAGGTTGTCTTTTTGCTTTGTTGATTATTTCCTTCACAATGCAAAAGCTTTTTATTTTGATGTGGCCCTGATTATTTTTTCTTTTGTTTCCTTTCAACTTTGAAAATAGGGATTAGAGTTCCAAGTAAGACTATACAAATCAATGAAAATATTCTGTATTTTCAGTGAGAAATAGTAAAAAACCAGTACTGTTTAAAAATCAGAAGTTGAATTTTTAAGTCTTATATTCATTTTGAAACTCATGTTGAGAAAATATTATTTCACTTGATATGGTAGATTTCAGATTTTGTGGAGATTTTTTGAGTGAACGCCCTGAATGCTTTTAAGGACTGTAGCATATGTGATGACAATAACTCTATTGTGTTTAGCTTGTCTTTAAAACTTGTGACTTTTCCTTTTCTTTGATACCACCTAGACAACTTTTTAAAAAAGACAGCATTGATAATGGCTACAAGTGGGATAAAGAAAAGGATAGATCTGTTTGTTTGTTTGGGGGGGGGTAGCTGAATAAGCATTGGAAAAAAGAGACCTAGGGGCAGGAAATAGAGGGAGAGAACATTTCCTCTCTACCTATTGTAAGTCAGATACTATACTAGGTACTTCCATTCATGTGAATGCCATTTCATCTTAAAATCTCATGAGATGTAGATAATCATTGACACTCATTTTACAGATAAGAAAAATCATGACTAAAATAAATAATTTGCCCTGAGTCAAATGGTTAGTGGTAAAAGTCAGGATTTAATCCTAAATGATTAATGGTAAAGTCAGCATTTATTATTTTTTTAAAAGATTTTATTTATTTATTTATTAGAGAGAGATAGCCAGGGGGGTGGCAAGAGAGCAAAAGCTGGGGGGCAGGGAGGGGCAAAGGAAGAGGGAGCAGGCTCCCGGGGATCCCGACCTGAGCTGAAGGCAGACACTTAACTGAGCCACGCAGGCACCCCAAAAGTCAGCATTTAATCCTAAATCTTTGGCTTTGTTGCCTGTGTTCTTCCCCACAAAATAGCTAAGGTGAAATGAGCCATTAACATTGCAAAATAAAACAGAAGGGCTGTTTATATGTGAGTTTTCTGAGCAGAAAAGAAAGGCTATGTTGAGGAATAAAGTAGAATTCCCTATATTGGCAAAAGTCTGGAGCATTTGTGAGGGTGATATTGGGCTGTGATATATACCTGGTGTTCCTAAATCAGGTTCATATTTCACAAGGTACTATTGGTGGAGTTGTGGGGGTAGGGAGGATTATCTGTGCACCACATTGAATTCAGAGTTTGAAAGAGTCTTTCATTTGTTTGCATCACATGAGAGATGTTTCCAATAATTAAATGGAACTCAGTGAGCATTGTGTATCTATATATAAGTAGATTTTGTTGTTGTTGTTGCTTAAGCTTAAGTTAGCTGCTACTAGTAACTGAGTTTTCAGTCTCTCAGATCCCTGGTATTTCTTTGAAATCGACTTTGATAAACACCGGTGTAAGAGTTCTTTGATAGCTCTATCTGATCTCAGAAATATCTTTTGGAAATTTGGAAAATTAACCTGGTTAGTATTTTATATGAATGGATAATATAGATTTTAGTATATAGTATAAATCTAAGAAAACAAAAAGAGTTCATGTATTGTTATATACTGGACTGAAGAAATCACACAAAAATTTCCACCTGGGATTTTTTTTTTTTTAATGCATAGGTGAGACTTTTAAATATCTCCTCAAATCTAATTTGTCACCTGTTTCCGAAATGGAATAGATTAAACCTAGCTTAAGTGTCATACTAAATATTTTATGCCTTACATTTAGTTCTGTAAAGCTGTTTAGTCATCTCCATTATCACTTTCTTTAATGTCCCTAGGTTATTGAATCTCTGGGAATTGTTATTTATAAAGCACTGGACTATGGTCTGAAGGAGAATGAAGAAAGGGAGTTAAGCCCCCCCTTGGAGCAGCTCATTGATCACATGGCCAATACGGTGGAAGCTGATGGCAGCAACGATGAAGGCTATGAGGCTGCAGATGAAGGCCTGGAAGATGAAGAAGATGAAAAGAGAAAAGTCTCAGCCATCCAGTCATATAGAGATGTCATGAAGGTAAAGAGGCAATTGACATAGTACTTGTTTTTTTGTTTTTTGGTTTATTTTAAGATTTTATTTATTTATTTTGACAGAGAGACACACAGTGAGAGGGAACACAAGCAGAGGGAGTGGGAGAGGAAGAAGCAGGCTTCCTGCTGAGCAGGGAGCCCAATGTGGGGCTCGATCCCAGGACTCTGGGATCATGACCTAAGCTGAAGGCAGATGCTTAATCGACTGAGCCACCCAGGCACCCCAGTACTTGTTTTTTTTAAGTGTTGTTATTTCACTTTAGACTTTTTTAAAAAAATTTTATTTTATTTTATTATGTTATGTTAATCAGCATACATTACATCATTAGTTTTTGATGTAGTGTTCACTTTAGACTTTTAACTGTAGAGAACAAACTGGTGGTTACCAGAGGGAAGGGGGGTGGGGGTGTGAAAATAGGTGATGGGAATTGAGGAGTGCAGGTGTTGTGATGAGCACCAGGTGTTGTATGGAAGAGTCGAATCACTAAATTGTACACCTGAAACTAATATTACACTGTATGTTAACTAAGTGGAATTTAAATTAAAACTTTTAAAAAAAGTATATGGGAAAAAGTAAGTTACAAACTGAAAAAAAAAAGCAAATGGGAATTCAGCATTTGATAATAGTTCGTAGATAGATCTTCAGCTATTAGTGAAAGGAATAAGGAACTAAAATATTCCTGGTTTTGTGATTTGTTCATACCCTCAACATAGCCATTTGTGATTGAATTATAACTCTCAAAAAACCACTTTTAGATATCATATACTCCTTAATATTACATATTCTACACCAGCTTAACTGAGCATGATGTCTTCAGTTGACTTCTTCATTTTCCTTTTTATGGAGTAAATAACAACTGTGATCCACTAATTTATATGAAGATTCTGCATCTGAAATATCACAGCTGATTGTCTTAGCTTGTTTTCTTGACCTACTTAGTGAAATTTATATGTAATAAAACAAGTTTTATAGCTTGAATTGAAATTTTCTCCTTAAACTTTCTGTGTACTTGAAGGACATAATGCTAAATGCACAGAGATTAAAATTAAGATTCGTCACCTTAGTCTTAAAAGAGCATTCTGTTTAGAGTTATTTACATATGGTGTTTACTAGATTTTGTAAGCAGTATTAGTTGTATATCACCTATTTTCCAACTTTTTAAAAAACATCCCAGAGACAGGAATAGAGAGGAAACTTGAAGACAGTACTTTTCAGGTGTACTACAGCATACCCTGCATCTTGTCCCTTCTTAGATAATAAATTTCCTGAGAACTCTAGAACAGGACTCTACAGTTATGATGCTTATGAAATTCAGATACATTCTTCAGCTCTTTTAATACTTGCAGTACTTTCATTTTAAATCAACAGTGTATGCAGGTAAAATCCTCATATATGTACAAATTGGAATTTCACACATTTAATTCATTTTATATTTTCTAGATGTTAAAGAATACTTTGAAATATATATATATTTAAGGCAAGATAAAACTTTCTGCAGCCCACAAATGACTTACTTGTTTCATTGTAGACCAATGATAACGATAAAAAGTGAAAAGTAAAAGATTTTCCATTAAGGCATAAACCTACTTATGTCTTTGGTTTTTTTTAAAGATTTTATTTATTTGACAGAGAGAGACACAGCGAGAGAGGGAACACAAGCAGAGGGAGTGGGAGAGGGAGAAGCGGGCTTCCTGCCGAGCAGGGAGCCCGATGCGGGGCTCGATCCCAGGACCTGGGACCATGACCTGAGCCGAAGGCAGACGCTTAACGACTGAGCCACCGAGGCACCCCCCTACTTATGTCTTTAAAAAGTTTTTTGGTAGGGGGTATGTAGGAGGCAGTGAACAGGGAGTGGTGAATAAAGAGGAGAATACCCACCTGACCAGTAGAATAATAGATGTCATAGCCAGATTGCTCTCTTATGCTACAGATTTAGAAGATGAGGGCTAGAGATTTATTGGAATCTTACAATTCTTATTCAATGACATTGAATATGTTAACTTACAAAACAAAAATTCTTGGACATTCAGCAATTTGAACTGGTAACTTTCATTTCATTTTATTATTTTTTAATTTGAGCTACTACGTTTGGCCTCCTACCTATCCTACTGCTTTCATAATATGAAAAATAATTAAAAGGGTGTTTACATATCATAAAACCCATTATTCATGGCCATATAGTGATATATAGAGTTTGTAGTTTGATTAGTGGGTTGAAATCTTCAGTTAGTAAACTGACTTCTTGTTGGAAGAGAAGACAAGAATTAACTGAAGGAATATAGCTGCTTTCTCCTTGTTTGAAGTGGAAATATGAAACTACATTTGAATAATATAAATAATAGAGTACTTAGGAACTTGGAGATAGCTTGTTTTTATGTCTTAGTGAACAAGAACTCTTTAGTGTGTAACTTCTCCCCTGAATAGTCATTCTTATTCTACTAATATTTTAATTTATGTTTTAACATGATATTATTTGAAAAGTGCTCTCACATTTGTTGTTTTCTGAGCCTTACGATAACACTGTGAGGTAGATTGGGAAGACATTTTTATGCCCATTTTACACATGGAAGAACTAAGGCTCAGAGAGCCTTCTCCAGCTTCACAGGACGGAATAAGGGAGAAGAAGAAGGGTACATGGTGGTTAAATTCAGAGGCTTATACTCTGGTAGGCCTGGTTTTGCCATTTTTGTACCAACTGTTGTTGCCCTGGATTATTTAATCCTATGATCCTTATTCTTTTGTAAAGTGAGAACAATATCTGCCTGATTGAATTTTTGCATATAAAATTAGATGACATAATCAATATAAAGTATCTAATATAGTTCTTGTCATGAATAAAAACTTAATAGCACTTACTATATGCCAGGCATTTTTCTAGGTGCTAGGAACATACTACCAAACAACATACAAGTGGTCTCTACCTTTACAGCTTTTAATTGAAATGGAGAAAAACAGAATATAAACAAATAAAGCATAAACACATACATATAATGTTTTATGACTCATTTCAGGGCTTTTTGCCATTGCATATAAATCAGAATGAATTGTAGTCACAAATTTATGTCAGAGATAGAAACGTTCTTCTCTTAAATTAAAAATATAACACCTAAAACATTTTCCTTTAAGTATTTTTTTGAGAAACATGTATAACCAAGTTTTGAGAAACATATATAACCAAGTACTTAATACTTTCAAGAAGCATTAAGGAAAGATCATTTTTAAAAATTATTTTCTTGGGGTGCCTGGGTGGCTCAGTTGGTTAAGTGTCCAACTCTTGATTTTGGCTCAAGTCACAATCTCAGGGTCATGAGATTGAGCACACCCCCCCCCCCCAGTCAGGCTCAGCGCCCTCAGGGAGAGTCTGCTTGAGATTCTCTCTCTTCTTCTGCCCCTCCCCACTGTGCGTGAGCTCTTGGTCTCTCGCCTTTTCTCTCTCAAATAATAAATAAATAACTCTTTTTTAAAAAATTACTTTTTTATCTGTAAATACATTCTGGAAACTATTCATTCAATTAACATGAGTCAAAAAGAAAAGATTGTAGATGTGAAGGAAAAAGTGGTGATGATGGAGTGTGAAGTGTGCAGGAGTGGAAGATCAAAGAGACAGGGTTAGGGATGATGAAAGAGTAAGACTTGAAATGGATAGAAAGGACAAGTTAAAAAAAAAGTGTAGAATCTAGAAAGTGTCTGAGAAATGACTGAAATTAATGAGAATAGTATATGAACAAAGTTCTTCATTTGGAAATGAATGTAAAGTTCTCAGTTTATTTACACACTCATTTACCTTTTGAAATATTCATTAAGCCTTTAGTGTACCTTCTTTGTGCAGAGTGCTCTGTGAGCACTTAGGTTGCTGAGATTAACTAGGATTAAGTGAACCCCTGTGAATTAAGTATTATAGACCAGGTGTGTAGGAACATACTAGCCCATACACTACTCTTGTGCAAATTAGCAATTAGCAATAGACATTCCTGATACTTTACTTTACTTTAAAGTACAAGATACTTTACTTCCGTCTGTAAGAAAATTGTTATAATAAATAGAAATTTGCAATGTCTGTTTTGTAGAGGATGTCATTCTAGATATAGTACCCTCATGAACATTCTGAACATACCAAAGTGGTGGTCCAAAACGTACATGAGATGCTCAGGGAGCACAGAGAGAAGCAATGAACTCAGCCTGGTGGATTCTGGTGCTCTTATACAATCCAGTCCCCCTAATAATTGGGGAATGCATATAAAGCAATACCATATGCAACTCTTTTGCAAGCAAGAATTTACTTTTGTTGATATCTGAAATTAATGGTAAAGTTTTTCACTTAATAATTGATAGCTGCAGTGTAAATTTTCATAGCCCTTATATAAAATAATTTTACAGTATACTAAAATGTTTGAAACTGTTCACAATGTATAATAGCAAAGGCTAGGAACATCCTAGATGTTCATTAATAGGGGAGTCTCTAAGTATCACTCCCCACTAAAAGAATCCCAGGATTCCTTAGAGAAATGGCTAATTCCAGATCTAGGAAGGAAATATATAAAATAGCCTGGAACAACCTATCATACCAGAAAACAGACTACCCAGGGTTACTAAATTGTATAAAAAGGACTAAGAAGCCAACTCAAAGAGGTTCCCGTTGGTCAAAGATGGAAGAATTTGATCATTAGTAAGAATAATAGCTGCGATGGATTAAAAAACACATCAAATATTCTGATTTCCATGAACACATAAATTATAGTAAAACTCTCATTGGTCACATTTAGAGGCTGTTAGGGAACCAACTTATTTCAAGAATTGGCAGATAAATGGAAAGCATATTCATCCTGCCTTTTCCATACGAACCAGCACCTTAGGGTAACCAATTATTTTCGTACAAGTTTCTTTTTATAAAAGTATTCCAGCTAATATGTGAAAATGGAATGATAGGAATTGCAAAATGGTAATATTCTATTTCCGAAGAAAGAATAGCAGTAATCATTGTGTCA